GAAGCGCAACACGGGTCGGGCAAATGGTGTGTCGCCGCGAGCGTGTGCCATGTGCAATGTTATGCAACGTAAAGTGGCAGGCGCACGCAAAGATATTTTTTGAATCTGCCTTCAAAGTGCCGGAGATGCCCTCAGCGCTTGGGTTTGTCGTGTCGAAAAGAATAAACATGTTACATCATGCGCTTAGATGGGCCTGGTCGTTGCTAGTATGATCATTACAGGCGTACAATTAGTAACGCCATGGTAGGTGTGAATGAACCAGTCTTCCAATTGAGGCCAAAGAAGCCGTGCCAGAGCAGCTGAGAGAGGAACCTAAGATCATGTGGCAGGATGAAGATTTGGCGGTGGTCTTCAAGCCCAGTGGCTGGTCCGCTGACCCCAACCCGCAGGCGCGGTTGGTTTGGTGACGGCCGCGGTCAATTACGCACGAAAGACATCATCGTGTGGGTTTGATTGCGCGTTCAACCTTGGAATAAATAGGGATACGTGATTGATGTTTCGATGCTCAAAACATTCCCAAATCTGTAGGGGTTCATTGCCATCATGCCAACTTGCAAACTCCTCAGGGAGTCAATCCTGCCTGGGCACGCCTGCGGCCTTCAGATCGACAGAGGGAGGTGACCAAGCTCTTGACACAGGCAACCGCCGCCCCAAACCCGATCCCTTAATAGCCCTTAAACAACAAATCACGCAGGAGGCAGATGCTCCTTTGCAGGGCTGGCTGCTGCTGCAGTTGGAAACCCAGAGTCCCGGTGTCGCACAAGACAAAATTTCAAACCTGGTGAAAGCAGACTGCTTATGGTGACTTAGGTTCGGGCACGAGACGATGAGCGACGCTTGCCGGTCTCAGTGTGGGTCTTGGGGATGCATATTCGTGCCCCAAAGGCTTTCGCAAGGAGGGCAGATAAGCCCCTTCTGACTCGTCGGTGATTGTGTGGCGTGACTTTGTCGCGCGCTGAGGGAAATTGATCGTGGCATCGTGCACCGATTGGATGCAAAGACCTCTGGTCCTTTGCTCATCGGCAAAACGCACCAGGTGTTTGGCAGTTTTGCTGCTTGTGCAGTTCTCTTTGGGATTCTTGCCTCGTGAGGGCTACGTGCATGCCAGAGGAGAGGTCTTGCGTGGTCTCTTCAAGGAGTATTTCCTGCGTGGTTTGAGAGGGACATAAAGGGTGATGAACGGTGAAACTCTTACTCTTTGCAGACGCATCGAGGACTACCTGGTGCTGGTTCATGGTCGCCTTCCCAGTGAAAGGCTCGTAAACTGGATCTCAACGCACCTGTTTGCCACTTTACAGACATCCTTGATATTTCGGCGGAAGGACTTTTCTTGAATCGAATCCATTTTCGACCTGTGACCATGAGAGATTGTTTGCAGGGGCGAGTGCAATGCAAACTTGGACACGCCTGGAGCTTAAGTCAAACCGATTTGGCAAAAAAACTGGGCTGGTGGGATAAGAACTGGGTAATCGTTTCTGTCTAAGGAGTAGCTTCAAGGAGAATGGCCGGGTGCGTCTCGCCCTTGGAGAGAGGGCTTCGGGAATACTGGTAAATACAGTACGTATTTGTAAGTATTTTATCCGCTTCCTTCCTCATGCCAAAACAAATAGGCCTCGATCCTGCTGGTCTACAATGCTCGACACTTTGGGAGGCCACTATTGATTTTGGTCACATAGCTCGGATGTGGTTTGTTGGTTTTGCGCGGCCTGCGGACAATGGAGGTCCTTGTGGAGTACGAGTCGGCTGAAGGGGAAAAGTCTTCTCCTTAGAGAGTTTCGCAGCTTTTTCGGGTGGTTTGGGCACGCGCGCGGATATGCCAGGCAGATCCAGGCAGAATGCTAGAAAACATTGCAAATTGAACGCCGCAAAGGACCTCAGAAAGGTAAGCCAGCCGAAATGCCAGAAAATAACTACGCCAGAAAGGATGTCAGAAGACAAGTGCCCAAAGTTATGCGAGGTAGAATGTGAAAGGATGTCAGAACCTATCCCACATAGAAAGCGGAAAGGATGTCAGAAGACGTGCCAGATAGAGTGCTAGAAAGGAATTCAGAATGCATGCTAGCAAGAATGCTGAGATAGAATGGCAGATGCCAGATAGAATGCAGAAGCAGCAAGATGTCAGAATGCCAGAAGATATCGCAGTTGCTGTATATAGACTGTCAGAACGTCAGAAGGTATGCCAGATAGGACTGGACGCCAGAATATATCATATTTTAAGGCTTACGCCTGACAGCCGGGCGCCGGCCCAACACAGGGCAAAAGTAGGAAGGTAGAGGGGATAGAGGCAAAAGACGTCGGGCATTCCGGCAACATCCTTCAATGTGGAAGGGGGCTGACCGCCCGGGTGTATGTAAGAGACACCGAAGGTCGGGAGAGCCGTCGCTCTCTCTCTCTCTCTCTCTCTCTCTCTCCCTCTCTCTTTCTTTGAGACTGTGTGGGGCCTATGTTGCCACATCTTGAGGCTATCTTGGCCCATCTAGAATCTAGGGCTATGTTTCCCATATCTGGGACCTATGTAGGGTCATTTTGCGGCTATGTGTGCCATATCAGACCTATGCTGGGTCATCTGGAGTATAGGCCAGCACCAGGCTCGGACTGAAGCGGGATGTCCGCGTAGCAGCAGCCCAGGTAGGTGGCCACAGGCAGGTCCTGCTGTGGCCGAAAGCAAGTTGAGCCACCGTTTCACCCTCCCAAGCGCCGGGGTCGGCGGATATATCCCAGACAAAAGCCGGAAAGGATGTCTGAGGACATGCCACATACAGTGCCAGAAAGGATGTCAGCATGCCAGAATCAGCAGGATGTCAGAATGTACCAGGAGGCAGAATGTCAGAAGGATGTCAGAAGATAAGATATGAGAGTTTTAATGTCAAAAGGTATGCCAGTTAGAACGTCAGAAGATATGTCAGACAGAACGCCAGAATATATTCGACCCCAGATAGAATGCCGGAAAGGATGTCAGAGGAATGCTGGAAAGGATTTCAAGAAATTACCAGGAAGAATGTCAGAAGACATGCCAGAATACGTGCCAGGTAGAATGCCAGAAAAGATGTCAGAAGTAGAATGTCACAAGGTGTGCCAGGCAGAATGCCAGAAAATTTTCAGTCCCAGACAGAATGCCGGAAAGGATGTCAGACGACATGCCAGACAGAATGCTGGAAAGGGATTCAGAATGCATGCTAGGAAGAATGCTGGGAGATATGCCAGAAAAGATGTCAGAATACATGCCAGGTTTCATGTCAGAAGATATTGCCAGTTAGAGCGCCATAAGATATGTCAGACAGAATAATTACACGTATTCGATCTCAGATAATGCCGGAAAGGATGTCAGAGATAGAATGCTGGAAAGGAAAGAGTCCCAGAAAGGATGTCAGAATATAATAATCTAGGTAGATGGCGGAAAAACGCCGCATATAGAGCCCAAAATCATATTAATATGTCTTGAAACCATGTCAGAACAAGCGGCAGGTTTGATGGGATAATACATATCGGACTACGTGGCAGAACACATGTCAGAACATGCCAACAACGGACGTTGGAACACTTTCTAGAACACTTCCCAGCTTTTATGCTAGATGAGGTGTCATGTGTCAGAACATGGAAACAATGCGCATGACAGGCAACGTTTGTCAATACATGAGAGCACATGTGCCTTGCCTTCGTCGAAGCCTCTCAGGGCGGGGGTCGTTGTCATTAAGCGTTGTCGTGCAGTTTTGCTGGTTGCGCTCTACAGGTACTCTCTCCTTCACTGCCGCCCGGAAACGTTGAGGATGCCGCAGTTTTGTTGGACTTGGCACTGTAGGTGTGGATTTGGAACCAGTTGGAGAGTTTTCATGTCATAGACTGATGACGGCGTGTGTTTTGTAGCAACTTTGGCATGATTGTGATAAAACCACGGGGCATTTTTTCAATCACAACCTGACTTGAACTGAACTGAATACTGCATCCGGAATCCCCAGGACTCACCAGATGAGAGTCCACCTTGGTCACCTGGGCAATCCGTTTTGCCGGCGTGTGAGTCAGGTTGCTGCTAGATGGGTTCTAGCTTTCTAAGCAGCTGGAGTTGCCAGGATAGTGGGGGATACCTTGTATGGTTTCCCTTCTCCACTGCTTGGAAGCAGCCGCCTTTTTGTGCACAAGGTGCGGATAGGGTCAGTGGCTAAGTTTCCAAAACTTGTTCAATTCTGTTACTGAATATAGTGTTTCCTCAGCTGGACAGCGCCCGAGGTTTTTTAGTATCCGTGGTCGCGTTTGGCGCTTGAAAACATACTGTAGTATAATCATGTATAATCTGTATATATACACACATGTCAAACTCACGAAAGAAAGTGGGAACTGGGAACGCATTGAATTGCTTTGCTGGTTGCTGGGGAGTGTCACAATCGGATAAGGTGCAGTCGCTCACCGTTTCGCTGCAAGAAACTCCAGAGCTATGGCAAGCCCTCGAAGGGCTAAAAAAGGTTGGGGACCTGAGAGCAGGTCTTGTTTTGGGTTCACTCTTTTCGTTCTCTGCCGGTGTAGTTTTCTGGGGAGAAGGATTTGGAGGAGACAAAACTGCCCAGCATCGTCCAGCTCTTCTTGAGGTGGGTGATGCTGTTGGATGCGGAGCACCGGGATTGGGCTGCGTGACCACAAAAGACTGCACTGGGGTCAGGGTCCTTTTGCTTTTTTGACTTTATGTTTGTTTTTCGACTTTATGATTGGATCAAACGGATGTGTTGATTTGGCTCAGATCATGACATAGACATAGAGGATTTCCAGTCACTTGCAGACGCACTGACTTGCCAAGATTGCAGATGCAATTCAATCACTTACCAAGCAACAGAAGCAACAGCGTGCATTTGATATGTTGAGCAAAATGAGTTGCGAAAAAGGCAAACCTTCTTCTGTTTGGCCATTGCGAATTCTTCAACCCAGATTCGCATCTCAAATTGAGTCGCACATGCAACCAGACGCGGGCTGCGATGGCCATGCGGAGCTGATCGTGTTCTTGGATACACATCATGGCAGCTGGGATTGGATTACTAAAGGAGCGAACTGATGCAGAAGCGAGGAAGTGAGCTAGCAAAGTCAAGCTTCTTTTCATCTGAAGTGAAGCCGGGATTTCGGATTGCGTAGAACATGGAATCTGAACTTAGATCGAGTCATGACCATTTTTGCAAAATTCAACAATTCAACAACACTTGCATGTGAAAGACGTGGGCGTCTTGCCTATGTCCGCCAATCGTGGCAACGAAACATTTTGCCGAAACCAGCAGAACCATATATAGGCGGATGACTCAAGCGACTTGCTGGAGGGCTTACACAGCCGGGTCCTGATGAAAGCTTTGGTCAAAAGTTCTTCGGTTCAAACAATGCAGCTTCTACTCTTGGCGCGCCAGTTTTTTTGGTAATTATGTTACCGTTGGCCTATGAATGCCTTGCCAAGCCTGCTCTAGAGATTCTATAGTTTTCTGTGTCTCAGGCCTGGACATCACCGCTTGCAAAGAGCACATCCGCCAGCTGCAAGCACGACGAGAGAGACGCTCTTTGGTCCAATGGGAAGTTTGCATTAGCAGTGTCACAGTGCCACTCACATTACAGGTGTTAGTAGAAACAAGTGCCTTACTAGTAGTAACAGGTGCCTTACTAGTAGTAACAAGAAGCTATTAATTTAATTCTGTTTCATGTAGATGGCGCACGACATGCTGGGACTGCTGACACCGGAGTAGCACTAAGATTTGATGCTACTCACGCTACCGTTTTGGTGCAGAGCCATAGGACCTTGGTGCAGATTGAAGTCATGTCCATTGAACAATCGCAAACATTATTCCGAGGTCGTGAGCTTGTGGAGAGGTTGCAGGAAAAGCTGAAGGTGTCGAATCGGTTTGAATTGTTTTATTTCTAAACCCTTTGTCACATGATTGGCATTGGCCAAAGATCTGAGGACTCTCGAGATTTAGTGAGTACATATGTCCAATGTCCTGCATATCGAGCAATATGCGGTTTGCCAAAACAGGAAGGCAGGCTGTTTTTGTGAGGGCCTCGTCATCAGGGTTCCTCACTGCAAGGCCCTGAACAATGAGTTGGCTGCGAGAAAAGAGGAGGCCGACCGCTGTCCGGGCACCAAAAAGTCGCCTCATCAAGTCATCAAGTATCCATCTTCGCTGTCAGACGAGAGATTTGGTTCGAACTCATTTGACTCGAATGCAGATCAACAGATCATATTACAAAAACATGATATAACATTGTGATTTGTCCATTGATGGTTGATGACCGTTCGATGACTCGCCGTCTCAATGCAGTGGTGGGTGGGCAGAGGCATTTACACCGAGGAGAAACCAGGGGTTCGGTGTCTAGGGACAGGGGTGACTGAGGACAGTCTAGGACTCCAGAAGGACAGGGTTCCACGTAGGATTCACATTGGTAGCGGAGCCCCTTAAACAAGGGGCAAGGTGTGTTTGGGGGTTCAGGGTGACCCTAGGTTGGTGGTGATAGGAAAGTTTTGGGGGGAAAGACATTTCACCTCCATCGTGTGATTGAGCCATGGCCCCAAAAGCTGTTCAGACGGCAGAGGAGGCCGCACCAGGCCGAAGCTCGGGATCCCTCCCGGCCAGTCAACTGCCTTGGGCGCAGATTCCAAGTTTTGTTGCTGGAGAAACGGACCTGGATGACTATGGGAAGAAGCTGACCTTTCTGGCCAGCATCTGGCCTGATGAACACATTGGGCATTTAGCCCCAAGAGCGGCCCTTCAGTGCGATCCAGTCTCCTTCAAGAAGATCTCTCGCATCAGCCCGGAGGAACTCAAGTCCAAGAACGGGGTTGCTGCAGTTCTGGCCGCACTAGGCCTACAATGGGGAAGGTTTTCAGCAGAAGACCGCTACCTCAAGTTCGAGCGGGCGCTGTTTTTGACCGTTCAGAAGGGGGACGAAACAAATGACAGTTATCTCGCACGGCATGATGCATGTTTCGAAGAAGTGATGGCCAAGGAAAAGGGCATCAGCCTCGAAGAGATTCGAGCATACATCCTCCTGAGGCATTCTGCCTTGACTGCGGATGACAAGAAGCGCATCATCGTGGAGTCCGATGGAGTGCTGAAATATGGTCCTACCAGAGACCGAGTTCGCCTTCTTGGGTCGAAGTTCTTTACCGACCTTCATGGTCAAGCAAAGCCCAAGAACAAAACCTATGACGTGAACGTCACGGAGACGCCTAGCGAAGAGGACACCATGGTGACTTTTGAACCTCCTGATGAACACCAGGAGGAGCAGGCATTTCAACTACTACAAGACCAAGGAGATGAAGACGCAGTGTTTGTGGCAGAATTCGAGGAAGAGGTCATCAATGCTGTGCAAGAGTCCAGTCAACTGGCCAGTTGCTTTTCAGCATACCAAGAAGCCCGTGCTCGACTTCGTGAACGAGTTCGCCAACGAGGTTTCTGGCCACCAGGTCAGGGCAAGGGTGGCAGTCAGATGAACAAGGGAAAAGGAAAGAAGGGTTCATGGAAGAGCTCATGGGCACCTCCTCGTAAGACACTCGCAGAGAGGATTGCAAATTCAACCTGTCGAATTTGTTCAAAGCCTGGCCATTGGAAGCGAGAATGTCCTCAGCGCTTTGAACGACAGGCGGAGACCACCACCATGGCGGAAACGCCCTATGAACCGGAGCAAGATCCAGAACTCATGGACACCTTGCCGGAAGACGTCCAGGACTATGAGCCTTGTTCCAGTTTAATCAAAAGTTTTTGTAAGCCGTCAACATTGATTGTCCCGGACGCTCGAAGGGGACATGAGACACCAGGGGTGAGTGAAGGGGTTCCTGTTTTTACTGTTTGGGACAGTGGTCTGTTTGGAAGTCGCCTTCGATCAGCTCTCCATGTCGCTCAGAGGCCGGGGCGAATTGAATGCGCCTCTTCAGCCAAGACGCGAATCAATTTTGAGAAAGCCTCCTCACCAATCCTTCCTGCGTGGAACGTCCATGACCAAACCGGACTGGGGCAGATGACTGAAGAAGCTTCAGACGAAGCTATTTTGGACACCGGAGCGAGCCGAACTGTGATAGGGAGTCGTAGGGTTGAGGGTTTGATTCGAGCTTTGAAAGGTGTCAGGGTTAAGAGAGGTCCCTCCAGTTGTGTGTTCAAGTTTGGAAATAGCGGCACGCTCCAATCCCAAGAAGCACTGTTTTTGCAGCGACAAGGCAGAGGATGGCTTCGCGTCGAGATCGTGCCCGGAAGCACACCGTTCTTGTTGTCAAACGCAGTTGTTCAAGGAATGAAAGGGGTAATCGATTCCTATAGGGGGAAACTGTGGTTCCATGGGGCGAAACAAGAACTCGATTTGCGAAAGGTTAGACGGCGTTTGATTTGTGTGAGTTTTCGGGAGTTGTTGAATGTTGATTTTGATGATGAAAAGGGTGAAGTGTTTCATTCAATTCCACAGAACACAAACACACAACACAAGTCGACCCACCACATGCATGACAGCAGAAATCAGAATGAGGAGACACCAAATAAGCAAACAGAGTTTCAGCATCCCACAGACTTGGATCAGAACGACCGTGCAGCCCAAGAGACAGCTCAAGCTATCATCCTTCCGAAGCCCGAGATCGACATCGACGAGACAAACGATCATGGCAATGACAAAGACAATGGCCCACCACTCCACGGAGGACGAGCTGTCGGGGGAAGAAGGCCCGACTTTGATGTCAGAAACCCGACAGGCCTTGGACTACACCTACATGATTCCACCGGGGATGACCAGCCTCAAGCAGTGGGGACAGGAGAAAATGAGTACCGGCAAACATGCCGGTCAGTCATTCGATGTGCTGTTCGAGATGGACGCCAACTATGTGAATTTCATCCTGCACCACAAAAGGCTCACAGGAGTCGACATGCGCAGCTTCCAGAATTACTGCATGGCCCGTCGGAAGAAGGAAGCGGAGGCATCACAAATGCCGGTGAGGAAGACAAAAGGGAAATCCTCCACCGAGAGCGAGTGGAGCCACATCGACTGGGAGACGATGGAGTACATGGAAGCTCATCAGACCCAAGGACCGATGACAAAGACCACGGAGAAGAGTCCGGCCAGCTCCAAGGGGACACCTCACAAGAGGGCTCTTCCCACAGCCAAGGACGAAAAGCCCATGACCATCGAGCCGAACCCGCAGCACATTCAAGCCCTTCAGACTCAGATCGCAGTGCTCCAGAGGGAACTGGCTCGACACGGCTACGAGACCCAAGATGCCCCGCCGGTGCCGGAGACCCCGTGAGAGCCGACAGTGAACCGAAGGTGACAAATTCGAAGATTCCAGTTGCTGAGGTCCAGAAACGATTGACGGAAGTTGTTCAAACGATTGAGGACGGGTTGTCCACTTTACCTACCAAAGAACCTTTTTGTCAGCGACCTCAGAAACCGGTTTGTGATCCAGTGTATGAACGACCCGTTGACCTCTTGGAGATCTTTTGTTTTCCCCAATCCCAGATGACCACCCAAATGAATAAGATGGGAGGAAAAGGGTTGAGATTCACCTTAGAAGATGGAGATCTTTCAACGGTGGAAGGGGTCAACAAATTATGGACCTGGATCTGTATGTATGAACCACTCCATATCTGGACGGCTCCAGACTGTAAGGGGTGGGGGGTTTTTCCCGACTGAACGTGACTCGAAGTAGAGAATCCGAATCACGTATTTTGTTCATGCGAGAGTTTGAACGAAGGTACCTGAAGTTATGTAATGACATCTATTGGCATCAAGTTTCACATGGACGACACTTTCATTTGGAGCAACCTCAAGGTTCAGACATGTTGAAACAACCAGAAGTATATGACATCATGTCGGGAACTTTGACAGCCTCCTTCGACCAGTGCACCGTTGGGAAACTGCGAGTTCCGGGAACGGACAAGTACCTTCGGAAGCGCTCCAACGTACAGACGACATCCAGGTTGACGCACCAGATGCTCCATGGCAGATGGTGCCAACAACAGCATGAACACCAGACCATTGAAGGAAGCTACACATACCAGGAAAACAGACAGAACATCTCAGCACTTGCCGCGCGATACACCACAACTTTTGCACAACACGTAGTGAGGGTGGTTAGTAGGAGTAGAGAGAGTGGTGAGGACCCCCTTGTTGTTGAAGAGTTGTTGGCAGGTTTTGAGGCTTCCGAAGGGCAAAAACGATCTGCTGATTCTCGAGGAATTGCTCTCGAGTCTTTGCGGCTGAAGCGGCGGCGATGCGATTTTAAACAAGCAAGACCACCTGCATTTGACGATCGCCAGGACACATCATGGGACGACCTAATGAAAAGCGTGTCATCAGAAACTGCTAGAGTAGGTGTTCATATTGTTGGAAGGGATGTGAGTGAAAGAATTGGGTCGAAGGTCCCAGAGATGGATGTCCGGTTAGTCATCTCATGTCGTGGAACGGATCGATATCGCATTCCACCGAACGAAAGCGACACGGAATCCATATCCCTCAGGAAGACAATTTATGTTCACAGACAGACTGGGGAGTGTGTGGATACGGGTCCCCCGGAGGAATGGCTCAAACTGAGTAAGCTGAAGCGCATCCGAGCATGTGGACCCTCCAGACTTGCGATCACCATTTTTGGGAAACCACGGGGGAAGGACCAAGATGTTGAGATGGTCCCTGTCCCGAAGGAGTCCCAAGAGGTTGAGGAAGGAAAAGAATTGGCAAGTCAGGATACCACCGGATGGGCTCCCAGACCAATTGCGGTGTCAGGCCCCGCCTACAACCGCTTGTCATCCGAGAAGCGCCAGGACATCAGCAGACTCCATCAGAATTTGGGACACCCCTCAACTGATCTTTTTGTAAAGTTCCTGAGGGAGAGAGGTTCACCACAAGACATTTTGGATGGAGCAGCTGAGTTCCAATGCGCGACGTGTGCGGAAACTGTAGGAGCCCCCATGTCTAGCAAACCCGGAACCATACACCGAGACTTGGACTTCAACGATGAGGTAGGATGTGATGGGGTATATTGGAGTGGTAAGATGGGGAAGAGCTACTATTTTGTTCATTTCCTAGATGAGGGTACGCTGTTTCATTTGGGGACTCCATGCAGTAGAACCACCGAAGACCAGATCCGGGCATTTGAGGACACCTGGTTGCAATGGGCAGGACCATGTAAAACCCTGTATGTGGACCCAGCCGGGGAATATGTCACAGACAAGTGGCGGGATTTCCTTCAAAAGGAAGGGATCCAATTGGCAATGACTGCTGGCGGTTCACCATGGCAGTTAGGTCGGACGGAAAGACATGGAGCCATCATAAAAGGAATGTTGACCAGGATGGACAATGAACAACCCATCCAAAACGAGGATGAGTTTCGGGCCTGTTTGAGACATGCGTTTGCTGCGAAGAATTCCTTGAGCAGGGTCAATGGTTTCACACCTGAACAGGCCTTGTTGGGTAAGGCTCGAACTCTCCCTGGCTCCCTTGTTTCCGACGACCTTGCAGGTAGCCATGTTTTGGCAGAGAGTGGAACTCCGGAAGGAATCAAGTTTAGGGAGAGTTTGTGGAGAAGGGAGCAGGCTCGACGGAGTTTCATTTCTGCAGACAACGATTCCAGCTTTCGTCGTGCGTTGCTTCGAAGAACACGCCCTAGTCGTGACATGTATGAAAAGGGGGATTGGGTACTCTATTGGAAGAGGACCCAACAAAGTTCCCGGAGAGAGAAAGGTAGGTGGTATGGCCCCTCACAGGTGATAGCGGTTGAAGGGAGTAGGGTGTTGTGGTTGAGTCATGGGGGAAGGTTAGTAAGGGCGAGTCCTGAGCAGGTTAGACCAGCCTCTCTCCGAGAATACCACCTCCTTCCCAAAGATTCATCTGGAGGAGTGAAACCCGAAGCATTGGCAGAAGGGAAGGGTCCAAGGGATTTCATTTCACTCGAGGGGGTCCCTGATGAAGAGTATGAACCAAGTGAAGGTCCCAGCGATATGATTGATGTTGAAATCCCTCCCAGATCCCAGCCAGAAAGTGAAATGGCACCTCCAAGTTCTCCAAATCAAGGATCGGCGCCCGAAGTGCCAAATTGGGACGGCGATGATATGCAAGTCGACGGAACTGATGTTCCCGTTCCAAGTGATGATGAGCTATTTGCATTTGGAGATGACCAGACCTGCACAGAATCATGCTTTGAGATCACGTTCAAAGACGGTCCCTGGGCTACCCTCACCCCTGAAGAGTGTTGTTCATGCGTGCAGGCGTACGAGACCTTGTTGACCACAAGTCCCAAGAAAGAGAGGATAGAGGTAAGGTGGGGGGACCTGAGTGCAGAGGACCGAGCTAAGTTTTCTGCTGCCAAGAACAAAGAGCTCAAGGCATGGTTAGACCATGGCACGGTCAAGCGTGTGACGGCTGGAACTCTCCAGCCAGAGGAAATTATGAGGTGCAGGTGGATCCTTGTTTGGAAGCCCCCCGAGACCCCAGGTGGAGAAAGACGGGCGAAAGCGCGTTTAGTCGTTTTGGGATTTACTGACCCAGGGTTGTCGTATGTCCCCAATGACGCCCCCACTTTGAGTAAGGATGGGAGGATGCTCTTGCTCCAAACAGTGAGTAGCAGAAAATGGAAGCTGATCAACTTTGACGTGTCTACCGCCTTTCTCAAAGGGGAAGGGGATGGCCGACGTCTTGGTTTAGAAGCACCTCCAGAGATGGCGCAAGCCCTTCAGATGAAAGGAGATGATCAATGCCTCCTTCAGGGTGGAGCTTACGGTCGGGTGGATGGTCCGTACTTGTGGTACACCTCGTTCAAGAAGACCCTTGGGAGTTTAGGATTTGTTTGTTGTCCTTTTGACAATTGTGTGTTTTCATTGGTTACCAAAGGACCAGACCAAAGACCTCAGGTTCGTGGGGTGCTCGGGATTCATGTGGATGATGGGATAGGCGGAGGTGATGAATACTTCCACACGATCCTGACAAGTTTCCAAGAAAAATTTAGTTTTGGTGCCTACCGGGAGAAGAGTTTCGTCTTCTGTGGGGTTCAATATTTTCAGTGGGATGATGGTTCCATTGAGATTGATCAGAGGGATTACATTGAGAAGATTTCCCCTATTCAAATCCCCAAGACAAGAAGAGCCGAACTCCAAGACCCGGTGACTGAGAGTGAAAGGCAGGAGATCAGGCAACTGGTAGGGTCTCTACAATACTCAGCGGTGAACACCCGGCCAGATCTGGCCGCCAAGATAGGAGAAATTCAGTCAAAGGTGACTAGAGCAAAGGTTGAAGATATGCTCACTTTGAACCGCGTCCTCCATGAAGCAAAGACACACCCAGTATGCTTGCGCATTGTTCCATTGCCATTGAACACTCTCACATTTTGTGCAGTCTCGGATGCCTCATTCGCTACATGCCGTGAGCTGTCATCCAGACAAGGCCAGATAATATTTGCAACCGATAAGAGGATTCTTGACAACCAACCTAGTGTGGTATGCCCGCTGGCTTGGTCTTCACGGAAGATAGCTCGGGTAGTGAGGTCAACCCTCAGTGCAGAAGCCGTCGCGCTGAGCTCATGTCTTGACAGATTGTCATGGCTTCGCTTGTTTTGGAAATGGCTGGTTGATCCCTCAATTGACTTAACAGATCCCAGCCGCATTCTGAGCGAAGATCATCCAGCGGCAGTGGCTACAGACTGCAAGTCAGTCTATGACATTGCAACACGGACTTCAGTTCCCTCATGTGAAGAATACAGAACGTGCCTTGAGTGTTTGTTGATAAGGGAACGTCTCAAGGAAAGCTGCCGCATCCGCTGGGTGAGCTCAAGAGCTCAACTTGCTGACTCTTTAACTAAATCAATGGACGGGTCACTACTTCGCCTGTGCCTAAAGGAGGGTCGCTACAGTCTTTATGACGAAGAGTCTACCTTAAAGGAGAGGGCAGACCGAAGGAACAAGCTCCTATGGGTTAAGAAAGACGGACAGGAGAAGAAAACATAGAGATTTTTAATGTATGTGATTTGTCCATTGATGGTTGATGACCGTTCGATGACTCGCCGTCTCAATGCAGTGGTGGGTGGGCAGAGGCATTTACACCGAGGAGAAACCAGGGGTTCGGTGTCTAGGGACAGGGGTGACTGAGGACAGTCTAGGACTCCAGAAGGACAGGGTTCCACGTAGGATTCACAAACATATATATATATGTATATATATAAAATAATTGGGTCAGAGACCATCCGACAATCAAGGGGCCATAGCACTGATAATCTGAGGCAAGAAGGATCTATTGGAGGAGCAGGCGAAGAACCGCCGCCTTGCTGAAGCGAGGCCATTTTGAGAAGAACATGGAAGAAACAAAGGACGCAAAGAAGGAGGTCCAAAGGTCTAAAGAAAGATAAGAAACAAACGAAAAGGACAATGAAGGACACATGGAAACTTGTAAGCAGTGCAGGACCGCAATCGATCGATCCTTGCACCCTGTCGACCCCCGTACACCCGGTCGACCTGGGTATCCTGGCCAATCCAAGACCAGTATGTGGTCAATGAGTACGGTGCGGCCTTGAGTTTGAAAGGAAAAGCAACTGCATCGCTACGTTCGTAGCTTCTTGCTACTAGTAGCTACTTGCTCCTAGTAGTACGGCCAGGAGCCCCTAGTAGCATTCTTGTTACCATTTGGCATAATGTCAAGATGTTGGACCTGTGAGACTTCTTAGGCAAAGGAGGCTTTGTTTGGTGTGAGCTGGCAGTTCGGAAAGGTGGTACGCTTTTGGGTCACTCGTCGAGCACTGTTTATAGAGTGACTCCAAACCATCGACTCCTTTGGCTTTGACCTTGTCATCAGTTGGCGGCCTGCTTGATCGACATATTCTCGTTCTGTGTGATAATATAATTACTATAGTTTCTTCTGATATATATATATGCATGCAGGCGCGGACAGAAGACTGGAAAGGAGGCAGGTTGGGCCAACACTTTCTCGATAGTGAGGAAGTCGACGGGTAGATAACTACTGTAACTAATGTGCTCAGCTTGCACACATGACTTGTGCAAAGTGCGGGGATATATATATGTTATGTCGAGCCATGTTGAAGGCAAGAGGGAAACATGCTTGGTGGATTTTCTACAGGATTTACTAGTCCGATGTGTGTGTGAAACAAAATGCAGAAGTGCATCCTTTCATCGTACACAGGCCACATGGGTGATTGCTTCTACTTCTCTCTCAGAGTTTGCAGGTAGTACAGATTCAAGACGACCAGCACCGAGAACAGGTTGGGGTTGGAAAAAGCGAGATGAGGTGACACATTCGATGAATCGCAGTGGCACCGCAGCCATCAAGATCATCAAGTAATGAAACACCATATCCATTGTGTCATTAGGTGGTCACGGCTTCAATGTAGAGCTTGGTAGGAAGTCGGCGAGTCGGTTCTCAAGATGAGTTGACCAGTTTCAACTGCCTGATCCTTGAGTAAGGAAGTAAGAAGGTAGTGACGCTTTCAAGATTGTCTCGTCGTGCTAGTACTGGGTCCAGATCGTTCCAAACAAAGAGACAACATGTTTTTTGCAGCTCCATTTGTGGTTTTGTCTCGAAGCAATACATTCAAGATAAGTGAGGTCTTTCATTGGTTTCAAGTTCTAGACCCACTTTTATTATCTTTTATTCACGATAGAGTGCGCTCTGTAACATGGCCCTGACTCGGCCCTGACCATATGCAACCCAGAGTTCAGAGGCTTTTGAGAAAATCCCTTCCACTCGCTCTGTCGTTGGCAGTGTGTAGGTCTTTGATTGCCAAATAAATGAAAAGAAATACCCTCTTTAAGCAGCTACTAGTAGCTCCTGGCATTACTACTAGTAGAAAGGTGTGCTCATAGGTTCCACCCAGCAGAATTTTGAGCCAGATTGTGGCTCACACTGGAAGTGGTCCGGGTCAGGAGCTGGAGCTCCAGGCAGCGACTGTCCGGCGCTTCATGGAAAGTACCCTCCAGGAGAAGGCACATGGAAGATTTTGAGGAAACGCCTTTGGATGCAGCATTTTCTACAGAGTTCTTGTGTTTTTCGATATTGTGCTGATTTTCTGGTCTGAACGGAAGGGGACTATGTTTGTGCAAATTGGACAATTTGTGATGGGAGACCCCGCAAGATTGCTCTTCTGTGTGAGACTCCGACATTGCACTATATTACTCTAAGAATAAGAATGCAGCTGTCCTGCCATTCCTTGGCAGGTGAAGAGAGACAGCACTCAGAATGAGTCTGGAATCCTCAGTGACCTGGGGAGTGACAATGTAGACTGCTGATAAACACAACTCCCTCTGTAGACTGTAGACTACTGCCTTTTGTACAGTCGATGAATGGAAGAACATTTTAAGATGTATATTTTTCATCATTCTTTTTTTCACATCTACATTAACGGTTAACGGAGGTCAGAGGACGAAGTGAGCGAGAAATATGATGAGATTTGGTCACTGCTGGAGCAAGGCTGGGCATACGGATCTACGACGAAGTTGAGCTCATGGTGGAGAAGCCAGGAGCTTTAATGGGGAGGGCGCAAGCGGCATGGGATGGGGATGGGGATGATGATGATGACGACGATGATGATGATGAGGATGATGATGAGGATGATGATGATGATGATGAGGATGATGAGGACGATGATGAGGACGACGAAGAGGACGAGGACGAGGACGAGGACGAGGACGAGGACGAGGACGAGGACGACGAGGACGACGACGACGACGACGAGGACGAGGACGAGGACGACGACGAGGAGTATGATTATGATTATGATGATGCTGGTGGCTGACACACGAGTCACGAGTGGACAAGAACATGAGTCTAACACGAGTGGAGTTCCTGTCGTCATCCTTCTACTCTGCTTCTGAGGTCAGCAGACGAGCAAGCTCTCGAAAGCATTGTCCTTACTTCAACCAGAAATGGGATGAGAAGAGAAGGGATTGCAAACCAGATGCTCTATGATGCTCTTAAGTTGAAAAGACAAGGCCACTGGAGCTGGTTTTCCTTTTCGAGGCAAATATATCGACACGGTGCTGGTGACCTACTGCGTCCCCAACTCCGAGCTGAAATACAACCTCAGCTTTCGTGTGGCGGCAACCTGAGTGTGATTGCAAACTTGAACTGGCAAAGACGCGACCGTTAGCTGAGGATAAGAACATGACCACTAAAAAGCTGAGGGAGGATGCTTGCTTGCTGGAGCCCCAGAGCTAGTCAACAGCTGGGATCCACGGGCAGAATTGAGTGAAATTGCATGAAGACTGTTTGATGGGAGACTCCACTGTCTGAAACAGTGGGTGTCTACTTTCAGACAGTCATTGTTTGGGGTTTAAGAGAAGAGACCTCCAAGTCTATTTATATAGGCATAGACAGCTCACTCTTTGAATCAGGTATTGGGGCTTGTCGGAGGTAGAGTTCATCCTCAAGACCATGAGCAACGCCAAAGTCCATGACGAGCTTGCGCGCGATGCTGAGGGGGTAGAAATGACATTATGGTATGCTGCAGATCCCTGTACATGCAACGTAAAGCTGACGAACAGGCTCGGCTCGTCATTATGCAAGTGTTTGTAGACTGGCTGGTGGAAGGATCCAAAGCTGCTTCCGCGAGAATGAAGATGCTCAGTTCCTTTTGGTGCAAAAGACACCGCGCCCTGCCAGCAAAGCATATGAAGCACGACATCCAATAGGCGGAGGGCCACGCCTTACCGGGGTTCGGCACTTGAGATTTGATGAGATTTGATAGCTATTTGCTCCTACTAATCCTACTAGTAATGCCAGGAGCTACTAGTAGCGTCCTTGCTCCTAGTAGCGATGCCCTTTGTTACTAGTAGCGTCCTTGTTCCTAGTAGTACTGCCAGTGGCTCAGGAAGAATGCCACGCTGATGGACAAGGAGCTCTTGCACATCATGCCCAAAGCTGGTCACTGGTCCAAGACCAGATGGATGGTCCAGATAAGAAGCCTCGTGCGATCAACGTCTCTTTTTGGATTCCAGGACCTCCAAGACAAATGGGCAACAATTTCCAGGAATCTTGTGAGACTAACCGAAAGCTATCCGTCCAGTGCCAATGCTGGTCCCCTGTTGGTTCAGCTACAACTTGTTGGATAGTAATTTGCTTTGCCTATGGGCTTGAAAGGAATTCGATTTGATAAAGAAAACAGGTTTTGGCCTCCAACCTACTAAGTGTTACTGGCGATGGCCTCCAACCTAATAGCGACGGCCTTTTGACGTTTTTGTTGCCTTTAACTACTGTAACTTGCAGTTAAGCCAAGGCCGCAAGGCTCGGCGCGTGGCGAAACAGTCGGGCAAGCTTGGGGAGGCCAAGGGTGAGTCTGCTGCAGGCGCCGGAGAGCAGGCAGTACTTGAGAGTGTGGGTATGTATTGGAACGGCCATCCAACCTTTGTCAGACCAAAGATTCATTGTTCGGGTACATGTTTACACAAATCAATTCGGCCACCCTGGTATCCAGTCACGTGGTGGCGTTGAAATACTAAGGAAGCTCTATCAACATGTCATTACATGGCTTTCACGGTGGGAACAATTGAACTGGAGAATAAACATACCAATGACATAGATTGACATAGATGCATGCTGTGAGGTGTTGGGGGAGAGTTGGCTGAGCAGATGCTGCTGTTGCCGGGCCTTTTCAGGCTGTGGGGTGGGGGGCCTGAAGGCAATCTGACGGTTTTTTGTGTGTGCTGCATAGTGTGCTCGTTGCCCTGAATCGTTGCCAGAGAACAAAGCTATTCCACCATGGGGGGAGCGGAGATTGATCACCTCCGTGTACCTGCAGCTAGTCAGTGGCAAGAGGCTAAAACAAGAACCTCATGACATTTTAGACGGTGTCGCCATTTTCGTGGGAATTCTGAGAGGCCATTCGATAGACGGTGATTCGACGACTAGGTGGTCTCAGGAGGTTCTCGCCTTTGACATTTCCAAGCTCTACTAACTTACACCCACATACTACTAGGAACAAGGGCATTACTACTAGTAACTAGTAGCCAGAAGCTACTAGTAACAAGGGCATCGCTACGAGTACAAGGGAACTTCCCTTGACCTTTGCCTGGGCAAACATCGAAGGTACATGACCCAGCGGGACCAGAACGTCAAACAGCGCGGGTGCTCAGGGAAGACAGGTCATGCTTGGGTGGGCCAGGCACAGTTATTTCATTATACTGCCGACGCTCTTGGCCTGATTTTGAGGCACTTAGAGAGACTGAAGTTGCGGAACCTCTGTGCTGGGGAGCTTGGTCCATTCGGGTGATTGCCCAACAGGGTTAGGCCTCAACTAATAGGTTGTTGGCCTCCAACCTACTAGTGATGGCCTCCAACCTAAATAGCGATGGCCTCCAAGTAGCTTTCACAGCTCGTCAAACTTTGTGATGAAATCCAACATTAGCTCATTGGAGTACCCGGAGTACCCTTGGCTTTCACCAATGTGGAGACAGGTTATACAATATACTGTAATCTGTCTCGACTGGAAGACATAGCTTAGATTCTGAAAATTGATTTGAGTGGCAACCCTTCCTCATTCAGATCTATCTCACGGTGCTGATCATGACGATCGTGGACATCTATCTCCAACTTCCTCCTGGCGCTACATACAGCTGCCGAGAAGGTCTGCAAAGATATCAAGAGTACACTGACTTAAGTGGCTGGCGCAAGAGGCCACTGTTTGCAAATCAAATCATACTGTAAGCTCTTTGATTTTTTTGGTGATCAAGGATATCCTTGTGCGCAGGTGACTTCACAACTTCTAGCAAAGAAGGAGTTCTTATTGCTGTTTAATCAACTAAACTCCGTTCGGGCGCAGGTGTGGTCCAGCTCATGACCGAAGGCTGGGCATTGTGGGTTGAACCTGTTTCAAAGGGAGGGACAGAGGGATTCTGCTGTTGGGACAGGGACATGTGAACACGTATAGTAGTAATATGATCGAATCCAATGGATGTTTTTTCCGACCTGATTCTGACGCAGGTGATGGGCAGGGCTTACATTTCGAGGAGATCCGTTCGTTGGAGGAGGTCTGGCCTTGGCTGGGGCTCCCAACTTGGGCGACGCGGCATGCAAACGGAATTTGTTACGAAAGCCAGCCTTCGTAGAAGGCGCCAGCGGAGTTGTGTTTGGCGAACGAAGTGAGTAGTTAGGGGGTCTGGGGGGGTGGCCCGCAAAAGGTACACGTAAACTCGGCACATGCTGGGGGAGGAGGGTGCGTCGAGGGAAGGTTTTTTGAGGTTGTGTTGGAGGTGATTTTTGAGGGGTGGTGATGCAAGAAATGCAATTTGCATCATTTGCATCATCTGAATGGAAAGGTGTAGTTGGCACCTTGCCAGGTATAGAGACCCAGGGTAGCTATAGTGCAGCTACCAGGTATAGTACTTCAAGTTCCCTTTCCGTCAACCGCTCGATAACCTTTACACACGCACAGCAATCCACAGCTTTGAAGCCTCATGCGCGCGATACCTGGGAACAGAATTTTAGCTACCGTGGGTCCGTATGAATGCTATGTTGCTATACCTCTTACACACCTATACCAGTTCAAAGCACGAATGAGACTTCATAGCTGTGGTTTGCTGTGCATGTGTGGCTCGAGAAAGATATACGTAAACTCTGGAAGGTGATGCTTTGATGCTTTTGGAGCGGGTGGTGACGCACTTGCCAACTATACCCTCCAATAGGAACTCGAACAGCTCAAATCCAGAAGATTCTGAAAATGGCCTGGCTCCCTATATGAACCCTGGGAAGACTGGGAAGCGAAGAGGTGGAAACAGCTGGGAGGTCTTGAACTTTTAAGTAAACAAAAGGCCACATTCAAGCAGCAGAAGGACAATGTGCATCCTCTGCTCTCGCTTCGCAGACCTTCATTTTTAAGGTGGCCTGAACAGAGTGTTTTAGGGCAGCAAACTCTGGTCTCAGGCCACCTTGAATTTAGCTTGAAAAATTGTCTGTTTTAACAAAAGCCTTGTCACAGAGACACCTCAGGCTGGACCTCAGGACCCTTGCTTCGCATATCTTCATTTTTGAGGTGGCCTGAACATATAGTTTCGGGCAGCGAGCCTCTGGTCCCAGGCCACCTCGAATTTTGTGCATTGTTTGGCTTTTGCTTCATCTGAATGTGGATGGGAATTATCTATGTGTGAAGTCGGTAGGGGGTCGGGGGGG